ACTAGTAAAGAAAAGTCTGGGAAGACTTTCCCTTTTATTTCCATTTTAGGAATGAAAAACGTGGAATTCTTCTTAGGTGTTCCATCTTTCAGTTAAGTTGTGTGTCATGGTTTGAGCCTGGTCGGCAGCCCAACACCACGCAGCCGCTCACTCCTCTTCGCTGGAAGAGAAGGGACAAATGAGCCAGGCTTGGGATTCGAGATAGAACCGGGGGGGCAGATCACCCATTATGGTCACAGGCAAAAGGCAGAATTGCTAGGGGAAGAAAAAAAGAACATACATTTATACAGACACTAACAACACCACTTAATAGAGCAGGACAGTGAGAAGCATTGCCACATCTTGAGAGCACCTCCCCCCTACCCCTCCCTTCTTCCCAGGCTCAGCTCTGCTCCCGATATCTCTACCTCCTCCCCCAGTGGCGCAGGGGCAGGGAATGGGGGGTGCAGGCAGTGCTGCCACTTCTGCCATCTTTGGTGGGGGGAGCTTCTGGAACTTCTTCCCCCTGTTCCAGCGTGGTTCCCCTCTCACAGGAGACAGTCCTCCATTAACTTTCTCCGACATGAGTCCCTCCCACGGGCTGCAGCGTTCCCCACACTGCTCTGTCATGGGTCACCGACTTTCTCCAACTGGATTCCCTCCCACGGCTGCAGCCCTTCCCGAGCTGCTCCGGCGTGGGACACCCCCGCATGCTGCAATCCTCCCAGCACTGAACTACAACAGTGGGGGCTACCTTTTCCCACAAGACCCCGGCCTTCTTCAGACACAGCACCTTGATCATCCAGGTGAAAAACATGGGCCACAAATCAGTGTCTGCTCCACTGTAGATCTTCATGGGTGGAAGGGGGGGCCGCCCTGTCATCTCCCCACAGGATACAGGGGGGTCTCTGCTCCGGCACACCTCCCCCCTCCTTTCTTCCTCCGTTCCCCCACTGACCTTGGTGTTCATGCAGCTGCAGCAACTCCTCCTCACAAGTCCGACTGCACGTCACCACGTCCCTTCTTAAATACGTTATCGCAGAGGCGCAGCTGATGGGCTCAGTTTTCCAAACAGAAGTGGAGCTGACTTGGAGCTGGGGGAGCTTTGAGAAGCTCCTCACAGGGGGCCGCCCCGATAGCCCCCTCCCCTGCTACCAAAAAACCCCACCACTCACTCAAACACAGGATATTGTGACAAATGACAGTACTCAAAATTTGCAGGTTTGTCTTTGAGCATTTATCCTGGCTTGGGCTGAAATAGAGTTAATATTCCTTTTCAGGGACTAGATGAGTGCTGTGTTTTGGATTTAGCTTTGGGTTTGGTATGGGAAAAATGCTGGTAGCACACTGATGTTTTCAGCTGCTACCGAGACTTCAAGGACTCTCCGACTCCCCATGTCCTGCCCGTGCGCAAGGGCACAGGGAGCAGGGAGGGAGCACGGCCACAGCACCTGACCCAAACTGGCCAGTGAAATATTCCAGATCATGGAACGTCATGCTCACTGTATAGAGGAGGGGAGGTCGGGAAGGAGCTCTCTCTCACTTCTGGGATTGTGATTGCGGGATCTTGATATTTCGGGATCTCTAGCTGGGAATGGGCTGGGGATCAGTCAGTGGGTGGTGAGCAATTGCATTGTGCATTGCTCGTTTATATTTTTTCTATTATTGTCATTGTTCTCATTTTATTGCCATTATTAAACTGTTCCTCTCTCAGCCTGCAAGTCTCCCTTTACCCCTCCAACTCCCTGCCCCATTCTCAGGTGGGGAGGGGGAAGAGTGGGTGACTGGCTGTGGTTGTTGGCTGCTGACCAGGCTCAAACCACGACAGCATTAAATAATACCTGTAATAGAATTCATCTCACCTACCTTTGGCTGTGTTTGTTGTAGAAATCTACATAGGGATGTTGTGTGTAGACTTCTTTCATAGCCAAGGAAGTAATACAGAAACTTTTGGGGTCAATCCGATCTGATATAGAAGTCTGCTTTAGGATGAGGTTTCCTGTCAATATAAAGCGAGTCTCTTCAACTTGCTCAGAGATTAATATCTATGTTGTAGGCACCCTGATTTGGCAAGGTGAATCAGACCCCCACTCTTCACTGAGGTTGTGCTACTGGGCCGTAGATGTGCCCACTACTTTCAGCAGAATGTATTGAGAAATGAATCTGTCCATCTGGTGTGAGATGGAGGGGTAATATCTCTGCTTACTTTTATCTCTTGTTCCTTTCATCCAGAACATATTGTTGCAACTGCAGTTAATACAGCTATTGGCAATGATATGAACATATTAGATTTTTTTTCCTCCCATTAGGTTTTCTTGGAGGACAGGAAGCAATTTTGCCTTCTGTTATGCCATTTATCTAAGGATAAAGGAGGAGGGATGCAAACCTGCATTAAACTATCTTTGCTAACAGAAATCAGTTGTCCAGCAATATGTTTGATCTGTCCAGCTGATGGAAGAGATACAGCACTAACTAAACTGATGCTATATTTTCCAGGCTGTTAGCCAGCTTTTATCCATCTTATGGTGCAAAAGGGGGTCTGTACAGTCAAAGGGCAGAAAGAGGAGGGCTTGCCCAAAGGTCTAATCAGAGCAGCAGCCTAGTTTACGTGCTTGGAAAGCCTAAATGTGATGGATGTGGTAGCAGTGGATGCTCTCCATTTAGAAGATTCTTAAAATAGCACACATCTGTCGTAATACCTGTGTCTTTCCTTCTTACCCATCCCTCTCTAAAATCATTCATCCCTATAATAGTCCTCATGCAGGACTACTTAGGGAATGGAGAGGTTTTAGTCTTCATTTATCAGGCAATTTCCAGGGAGCCTCCTTGTAGCCAGCATAGTCTAGTTGTCTTCTTAGATTGATCTTACCTATGCTAGGAAGTGTCTGGATCCTGCCAGAACAACCTTTTCCTAGACATTTTTTCTTTGGTGTTTATGATAGCTTCTTCAAGGCAGATATTGTAGCCTAGACCACACAAAGTGAAAATACTGGTTTGGACAGCAGTATCCAAAAATGCCTTTTGAGGTACATCAACTAGTGAGATAGAGGTGTATATCATTAACCGAAAAACATTTAAATCTTCTTTTCCTTTGGATAATTCAACCCACCCCCTGTTTCCATGAGAAGGGTAAACAGTCTGAGCTGAGGAAATACTCTGAACCTTGTTTGTAAGCACTCTTGGGCCAAATTGAAAACTAGGGAACCATGTTACGGAGTTGGGCTGACACACAAGAGCTGGAGAATCTGGCCCTTTGTACCAGCATCCCTTATTCTTGTACATTCAGCTCTTGTGACCTGAGCATGTGCAGTATGTTATTTCCTCTATCTTTGCAGTTCTGGCAAGGAAGTGTACTGCCCTGAAAGGTTGCAGATGTGGCTATAAAGTTTGCGTGGGTACTCTCAGCTGCATGTGTCACAGCTGCGTGAGCCTGACTCTTCCTTGGAGTCATGTAAAGGAGGGGCAGGGCTTTCTATCAGTGAATACACCTTTAAAATAAGAACATAAACACCTACCTCATCATAGGAATCCCCAGGCTAGCTATAATCTGGGCTAGTGGGCAGTATTCTGTAGCCAAAGATGCATATGGGAGAGTTTCCTGCTTGCATACCCAGCTGCCTTTGGCTGCTCAGTCTGAATGAGCAGGCTCTTGATTTTCAGTGGCATCAACATTCAGCGCAAGTCTGCAAGGAGACTCAGCCTCCTGTAGATTTAGTCATGCATGCCTCATCTTGGCTTTTGCTAAATATTAGATATAAGCTATTTATTTATTCTGCCTCTCTGTTTCTTGCTCCTGAAGGTATGATCCGTTTCCACAGATGTCAGCAATGACATTCCCGTTTGCATCAGCATGTCATGGCAGGGGCAGGCAAAATTTGCACCCATGGCTCTTCTGAGAATGTCCACTCACTGAGTAATGAGTGATCTGTTCCTTGTTCCCTGCATACGCCACGCATTCAAGGTCTGTTGTTTTGTTTTGACTGGACAAACAGGATATGAAGTGTCACTTTTCTTTGACTGGATAAAGGCAGCATTTAGGAGCAGGCATCTAGTTTGAATGTTCATAGCAAATGTACTTAAAACACTTTCTAAGACAGTTCTTCAGTAACTCATTAGGGTTCACTCCTTCTGAAAACACTGTTGCCAGCAAGCTTGTTCACTAGAACACTGACAGGAAGAAAACATGGAAAAGGTGAAAACATAATTGCATCCAATTCCTCTAAAACTGGAATGAATGAATTAATATTGCTGTAAGTATTTGCAGTAACCTCCCAGATGTCTCTCTTAGACTTTGGATGAACTTGGCTCAGAAGTACCTTTTCTTTTTTTTAGATTTTGCTTTTTATTAAGTTTTTGAACAACATTTTACAACCAATAATAAAAATGAATATTAAATCTCATACAATATTTCATAGCCAATAACGAAAAAAGTATGCCATATCCTACTAATATATCATGTTCTTCAGGAAAGCGTTGGTACCTCAGAACTGGGAATGGGCCTGACCCCTGCAAATCCAGTACTTCCCTGCCTTCTGTGGGATAGGAGTTTTAGGTTTGTAGATGTATATTCCTGCAGCTTTCAGTGAGACAATCAGAATCCTTTGTGCTCTATCATGTATTTATAAGATGGTATAAATCACCAGGATGTGTCTTAGGTGATTTCCATCATTACAGACCTCGGAAATCTCATGAGAGGAGCTCATCTCCCAGATTTTTTGTTTTGTTGGGGTCAAAATCTTGTAAGCACACGGCTATTCTAAAGAATTAAATGTGAACCCGATGTTAGCACTGATTTAATCTTGCTCATAAACTTCAAACTCGAGCCAAAACCTCTCTGCATGCAGATAGCAGGAATGACAGCTTGATGGATCTGAAACTTCAAGCGTTGTGTACAACTGGGATTGCTAAGCAGGATGAGAGATATGTAGAACCTTGGATAGTCCTGTAAGGATATATAAGCCCTTCACAGGCTTGTCAGATGAAGATCAAATATGGATTTATGTGTTAGGATGAAGGAAACAGGAACCTTCCTACCAATGAAGGTTAGGAAACCTTTTACGTTTTCTTCAGTGAATTGCCTACCCACATAAGCCAAGGAGATTCAAAATAGATGTTCTCCATGCCAGGAGCCATAGCCTTCAGAGAGTGAAAGTGAGAAGGTTCTGGGAGATCCCTGAAAAAGAATGAGACCTTCAGGTAATAAAGGTTATTTGGGGGGATTTTTTTTTGTTTGTTTATTTGTTCTCATAGTTAAAGGAAATTAAACTGAAGCCCTAGCTTGATTTCTCCTCATGGATTAGTTTGTGCTAATTATTGCTATTAATAAAACTGTGAGCGCTCAAGGTCCCAAACATGCAAAGACTCGTACAGCTACTTTGCGTGCCTATTGAACCTAGAACTGACAAACAACTGCCTGCAAAGTTAGGGGTACATGTCTTTGCAGGATTTGGGCATGAGAAGGGGTTTGTAATCATGGTTGTTTTAAGAATCCAAACAAAACAAGGGCTGGTGGAAAACATAAAAGTAATTACCTTAATTCAAATGCAATTCCTGATCAATTGCTATCTTTGAGCCTCTCTAGCTAAGCCTTGTACAGGGAAAAGTAGTAAGGAATCACAAGTGAATGATAAAAATCAATCAAAGGCAGGAAAGAAAAACAACCTCCTTTGCTTATGATAGGTGTCAGTTCTGTTTCCTCTGCATTGGCTTCATCCAAAGCCCGCTGTAATCAATAATATCTCTCTCTTGACTTCAAAGCACTTTGCGTGAAAGCCTATTTCTGCACCTTTTTTTTTTTTTTTTTTCCAACTGTGAGTCTCTGAGCACGGCTGTACTGTACTACTATACACTGTGCTGTAGTACAGCAGTGCTGGACCTCGTGCTGTGCACGGAGTCCTGCAATAACTGTACCCAGGTCTGCAGCTGGCCTAGCCGCGTGGTCACAGCATGCTTCTAAAACTGTGCCGTTCTGCAGGAACATCTTCTCGTGCCATTCCCCTCAGTACCGCTTCTGGTTCAAAGGGCAAATGTAAAGTGAAGGGCATCTCGAGAAGCATCAGTACCACCAGCCTCTTAATAAGCTACAGCTTAAGGGGGAGTTACTGTAAAGAAGGGAGTGTTCCTGTACTGCAGTGTAGTTTTGGCTAAACAGTGTAGCCAAGTCAGTTGGGAAGTGATTTGTTTTCTCTCCACTCTTTTAAAAAGCTCCCAATCACCACCCACCATGCACAAGCACACACAATTGGTCATGACAGTGTTTTGACCCTACTGTGGACAAGGCAAGGGAAAACTTGCTTGGTTTTTGGTAGGCACTTGGTTTTAAGTTTCATATGGAAATGCTGCAGCTTTAAATTACTGCAGAAAAGACAGTCTTTTTGAAAGGGATGGAAAGGTTAAAATGTGAATAAAAATAGAAGCATTTTGCGAAAGGAAATGTAAACCTTTTTGGGAAAAAAAAATTCAACTGCATTTCCTTGCTTTATTTTGATGTATCTCTAACTATTGGAAGGAGAGTCAGGCAACTCTGCACAGTGGCTCATCTGGCTGATTTTACATACATACATGTGGAAAAAAATCTCTTGTAAGTTGCTGGATAGGCTTGGAGAAAACACATGACTTTTAGGAAGCAAAAACTGGTGAGACAGACATTATACCTATGCAAAGGATAAAGTAGTTTTCAAGACTTCTAAGAATGAAAATTTTGGACTTTCTCCTAAATGTTCAGATAAAATAAAGAACTGGGATGTTTGGGCTTTTACGCTGTAGATATCATCTTGTGTCTTTAATAAGGAGGAAATTCTTTAATGTGAAAGTGGTGAGACACCGGCCCAGGGTGCCCAGAGCAGCTGTGGCTGCCCCCTCCCTGGAAGGGTTCAAGGCCAGGTTGGACGGGGCTGGGAGCACCCTGGGCTGGGGGAAGGGGGCCCTGCCTGGGGCAGGGGGTGGCACTGGATGATCTTTAGGTCCATTCCAATCCAAACCATTCTATGATTCTATGATATGATAGCCAGTAACTAGGGTGAGATTTCCAGTGAAGTCCAGGTTTGCTAGGTGCCCAACTTCAATGAAAAGTCCTCCTGAAAACTATGAGGAAGGTGGGTGATAATGAGGATCAAAGCAGGGCTGTATTTGTGGCCCTAATGACACCACACAATTAAAGGTAGCTGTGATATGTTGAAGTATTACACAAAAGGAAGAATTCAGTAGCCAGTGCCTTTGTCAGGATACACTATGAGCTTTGCCCTAAAGCTTTGTAGTGAACCCCCAAAGCATGAACAGGGTGTCTCATGCTTCATGCTACTTTGGGGTCCAATATTTGAGAGACTGGCTTTAAGCACAGAGGTCCCAGTTGTAGTCCTGTCCTGTCATCTGCTGGAACCAGGTAGAAAGCAAATAAGGGGATTTTCAAAAGGGGTAGAGAACCTAGCCGAAGAGGTTTTTAATTCTTTCTCTAGAACTGAAAGCACTTCTCACAGAACTTTAAAAAATTTTCTATAATAAATTCAAATGCTTCTTGGGCATGGTTAGCCTTTAAAGTCAACCATCAGGCCATGTTGTTATATAGGTAAGACTGGGCCATCCTGATTAAGAGAATGATAATATTAAGAATAAGTACAGTGACTTGTAAAGAATATTGAGGCTGCATCACAGAGCTGTTCTTCTGAAACATAAATTTTCATTAAAAAATACAGTGCTTTCTTTGCAAGGAATCGTAGAGCGCTTTAAAAGGCTAATGATGTTATTGGTAGGTGATACATTTTGCAAATGGAAGACAAGGAAGAGAAAACATAATTTCCTCTAAATTTAGCACAAATTCTATTACCTCTGTTATTGTCCCATAGGCCAATGGCACAGCTTTCCGAAAGCATCTGCTACCTAGATGATATGGTACAGTTTGTTCTTTCATAGTTCTGTATTGTTTCTATGGAGATCAGTGCAAGCGCTTAGCTCTTCATGACTGTATAGGGATTATGAGTTAAAAAATAAAAAAAAAAGAATGTGAAGTTGGGCATCTGTATACATACTTAGGTACCAATAACTTGAAATCCACTGGTGGATCAGCAACAGTGAAAATGTGCTCCATGTTTAGATTCAGGGTGGTGAGTGCCAGGCTCCTGTATTTTGAAAATCTTGTCCAGGGTCTGCAAGTTATTTACTGATCGGTTGTATTTTATCTTGATTCCTGCCTCCTATTTCATTCTAGTTAAAAGAACTCTTGCAATTAATCACAGCAACATTTTTAGACATCAGTGATGAGGATTTAGTGGTCCTGGGCCCCTATTGTAAAAACTACTCCCATTTTACTACACAGATACTGTAAAAAAGCTGGTTAGGATTTGGAAATTATATTCTCACATTGTAGAGAGGAGGCAGAGTTACAAATAGGTTACATGATGTTTTGTCTGGAGCCTCTGGCAGAACTGGAAAGTGAACTTAGACCCTATTTTCTTGTTTGACTGTCTGTGACCCCAGAACAGCTCTGCTGCTGTTGTTTCCTTCACAGATTTTATTAGCATGCAGCTGGACCTTGGTGTTCCAGTCAGTCATGGTAATTATTACGCAGCACCTTGCAAGACTTGGGTGCTGGAAGTATCAGTTCTATTCTACATAATTTATATAATTTACTCTTGAAAGTCAGAAGGGAAAAGGAACCCCTAAGTTTTGATTAGACACTAAATTCATTATTTCACATTAGAATTGCCTTCACTAGAGGACCAAGGATACTTACTTGATTCAGTAACGAGAGCTCCAAAGGGTACTAATTTAGTAAGACTATTGACTGTTCATTACTCTGATGTTGCTCAAATAGCTGAGAGCATGTGTGGTGTTTAATGTGATCTTAAACATTACTATCTACGGTAAATCAGAAACAGGGCACAAGTGCTATAGCTGCTGTTTAATGATGTATGAAAAAGCTGCCTGGTAAAGTGTACCATTAAGAAAAGCTAAAACCAGTGCTGAACAAAGACCTGATGAAATATTGATACCTTCTTACTTGGAAAGTGACTGAAGTCTGGTTTTCTGGAAAATCACACTTGAGCAAAGCAATGCAATCAGTGGATGGGAGCAAATTATTTGTTGAGGGTGGCGGGGGGTGGGGAACAAGTCAAAATAATACAGTTAGTGTTCAATACATTTGTGTTTAGTTTATAACTGGGAAAATGTCCAGTTCTGACATTATTCCCTTTCCCCTGAAATACTGAACTTCCCCCACCCCATCACCAACTCTTTCATCTTTCTTGGAGAAAGAATCTAATCTGGAAAAAAAAAAAATTAGTAAGACAGTCCTTTTTAAAAAATGAACTAAAGGATGTAAACGTCATCCCACCTTTAAAAGTGTAAAAAGACTGAAGTTCAGGGAAGTTCTCCCAGGTCAGATGCCATCATTGCCAGACCTTCTCTCAGAGATTCTTGTGAAGAGCATCACTCCCTCTGCAGTGGACTTGCATATGCTTAGCAGGGAGGATGCTTCTATTCTCTGTGCATGTATATCTGAAGAAATGGCTTTGTTCAGCACTGTCATGAACACTTACTTAACTCCAAACCAGTAATGTGCATCCACATTTGCCAGTATTTTGACATAAAGCTAATGTTTGTGCTTGTGTTTCTGACTCTAGGAACTGTGACTTCATTTCTTTTAAGCTAGGGGAGCATCTCTTCAACTCTTTGTGAACCAGGGCTCAAAACGTCTGTGCAAAGTAGGCTATTTTTATTTTCCACTTCTCTGTTTCATTTTCCTCACGCCTTCCACAAAGCTCAGGCTTTAGTGTAGGTCAGCACTGTTGCTCTCTTTAGCTGCTGCGAGGGTCCTGTGCACAGGGATATGATGGAAGTTTTTACAAGTCTGGGTCCTATCATAATTGTGGAACAGGGTTTGCAGTGCCCATACTTAGTGGTTAGAACACCTCTCTCACACCAAGACCTTCTGCAGTTTGTGTTGGGCAGAACCTGAGGTTTCTCCTGTCTGACTGCTGCACATGGGCTTTGCTGGTCTTGTAGAGCCCTGTGGCTCATTCAGCCTGGAAAGAAATAAATACAAATCCGAGAAGGCACCCAGAAATTGTCAAAGCAGGGAGTTTAAAAAAAAAACAAAGTCAAAAGGAAGTGCTTTTTCATACAGCACATAATGAAATTGTGCTACTCATTGACATAGGATGCTGAGGAGACCTGAAGAAGAAATTAATTAAAAATAAATA